GTGTTCACAGCCCTGACTCCTGACCCCGGGCAGCCAGCACGCAGGGCAGGACTCGCGGGGCAGGGAGGTGGGGACCTCCCGCAGAGCCCGCCCTACTACCCTCTGCCAGATGAGAGCAGACATGGCTGAGAGGACCACGCGGTGGGGAGGGGACCACGCGGGGAGGAGGGGACCACGCGGTGGGGAGGGGACCACGCGGTGGGGAGGGGACCACGCGGTGGGGAGGGGACCACGCACGTGGTGGGGAGGGAACAAGCCGAGAGCAAACCAAGACCCTTGGAAGTTAAAGACGCGCAGGCGCGGAGGAGAGACCCAGGAGGCGGCTGGATGATAACAGCGCATCCTCAGGACGGGCGGAGGGTGGAGATGGCAAAGGGGAGGCGAGATGAGTGTTGGGAGCCCGGGACAGCGCCTCCGGGGATGCCAGGCGGACGGGCGTCCCGGAGCCCAGGACGGGCATCACAGGACGTGTGGTCACCGCGGATGCACCTGAGCCATTTCCACAAAGAAAGGAGCCAAGCAGCCCTGGCTGGTGCGGCTCAGTGGAGAGCGTCGGTATACAAAACAACAAGTGTTTGAAGCCATTTGGTTAATTCGACTTTTCTGGTGAATTAAGACTGAGGTGTATGCCACTTAAGGATGCAAAATGGATAGTGGGCCCTAGCCACTTTGGCTCAGAGGATAGAGCATTGGCTTGTGGGCCAAAGGGTCCCAAGTTCAATTCCAGTCAAGGGCACGGACCTCTGTTGCAGGCTCCTCCCCACCCGGGCCCTGGTCGGGGTGTGTGCAGGAGGCAACCCATCGATGTGTCTCTCTCACACCGATGTTTCTCTCTCTTCCCCCCTCTCTTCCTCTCTCCCTACAAATCAATGGGAAAATATCCTCGGGTGAAGATGAACAAAACAAAACAACAAAAACCAAAAAAACCCCAAAACAAAACCAAAAAAGAAAACGAGGGAAAGGAGCCAAGCGGCCGGAGACCAGGACGCGGGGCCTGGAAGCCGGTGAAAGCAGCCGGGCGGGGCAGGCCCCGGGGACACAGAGCACGAGGCGGGCAGCGGCGGCAGGAGGTGGGGGAGCGACGCTGGGATGGCTCCGGAGCCTCCAGGCCGCTCAGGGGGAGGGAGACCATCTCCAACGCGGAGGCCACGGGCAGACACAGAGAGATTTAGGGAAAGGCGTGGCCTCAAGCTGCACTTCCCCAGCAACCTTCTCAAGATGCCGCTGTGGACGTGTCTCCACGGTAAGAGGAAAGGGAGGAGGCGGGCGTGGGGATCGGAGGTGGGGTCCCTGACGGGGGTGGGCAGTGGAGGCCTAGCCCGGCTCGGAGGCCGGGGGCAGGGGCCCACCGTGGACTTGGTCATGTTCTCCAGGGCCAGTCTCATGAAGGCGTGCGCCCAGGTCTCCTCCAGGGAGCCACTGGCCCCGATGACGGTCTCCAGAATGTGGAACAGCCGGAACCGGTGCCGGTCGGAGATCTGTGGGCGGCAGAGTGGACAGCGGCTCAGGGACACGTTGGGAGTCGCCAGTGAGAACGTGGTGGGGGAGGGAGAGGGAGGAGGCCCCAAGGGAAAGATCCCAAGTGGATGCACTGGGCCATTTTCCAACATCCACTTAGCGAGCACCTACTGTATGCAGGCCTTGAACTAGAGACAGGAATAAAAATTTGTCCCTACCCTCAGGGAACTGCTAGTGGAATTTCATCTCGAAAGCCCGTTTATTTATTTCTTAACTTATTTACTCCTTTATTAACACTCACACACATCTTCCCCAGCAATCCATCCATCCATCCACCCATTCATCATCCATTCATCTATCATCCATCTATTCATCCATCCATCCATCCATCCATCTACCTGCTCACCTACCCATCATCCATCCAACCACCCACCCACTAACCCACCCATTATCATCCACCCACCCACCCATCATCACCCATCCATCCACCCACCCACCCATCATCATCCAGGCACCCATCTCTGCCACTTGATGGCTCTGTGGCTTTAGGCAGTCAGCTCCCTTCCCTAAGCCCCAGTGTCCTCGTCTATGGGGATCATAAGATTTGTATCATGAGGTTGTTCTCTGGTCAGTCAACGCCTGTTGGCCCACTTTTCTCCCCCCACCCCCCAAAGCCCATCGGACACGAGGAGATTGACTTGCCCCAAACCATGTGGCTGCTGCACGGAGAAGCCAAGCGTTGAGCCCGCCCTGGGCTCCAGCCCTCCCCTCTGCTCCCCCGCCTCTCGGGAGTGGCCCGAGCAAGGCCCACCTCAGGGTTGTCGGCAAAGTAGTCGTGGATGGTCTCCAGCACCAGGTTGGGGGCTTTGTACGCCATGCTCTGCACCTTCTTGACGATGTACTTCAGGCGGACGGGGTCTGAGCCGTTCAGGTCTCGGAGCATCTTGAAGCAGATGGCTGCGGCACAGGCAGCGGGTGTGAGGGAGGAGTCGTATTCCGTCCTAGTCACCGATTCAACCATCCTTCTGTCCATCCATTTCCGTACTCATCTGTCGCCCACCTATCCACTGATCCATCTATACATTCATACTTATGTTTGTTCATCAATACATCTATCATCCACTTGTCTGTCCATCTTTATACTCACCCACCAATCCAGCCATTAATAAATATATCCACCCACCCACCCGTTGACCCATCCATGCATCATCCACCCACCCATCCATCCATAAACTCATCATCCATCCCTCCATCCCTTCACCCTCCATCCAGTCATTTCACATTCAACGATGTTCACTCTGGGTGGTTGTAGGGCTGTGTGTGGGGCTCACAGAGGAGTCAGGGCCCAGCTCTGGGAGCCATGCCCAACATCAGTGGACGTTGGTTCGGTGGGGTGGTTGTACAAAAGGCCCTGGGCACACAGAGGGCAGGGGCAATACAACCTGACAAAGATGGAGGGGCAATCAAGACTGGCTTTCCAAAGGAGGTGGCAATTTAACCTTGTTTAGGAGGATTGGGGCACGTCATCCCTTGAATGAGGGGAAAGCATTTCAGGGGGCAGGCCAGGCCTAAGCGGAGGCTCTGAGGTGTGAAAGGTGTGGGGGGGAGAGGAGGTGAGGCATGAGGGGGATCTGGGGTCTCAGGAGGCATGAGGAGGCCAAGGAGGGTATGCGGGGCTCTCTGTTGAAAGCTGCAGCGTCCACACCCCTGATGTCCCCGTGTCCTGGAGGGAGGACTCCCCTGGCCTCATCCCCGGGACCTCTTGGGGTGGAGGGCCATGATGGAAAGTGCCGGAACCGAGTCCCAGGGCCGGGGGTCACCTGCGTTGTAGGCTTTCTCCAAGAACATCTTGTGTGCCTGGGGCCCCAGGGCCGCCTGGCTGATGTCGGACTTGCACAGGAAGATGGTGGGGGGGTGCGCTGGTCTGTCCTGGTGGGCAGAGGTCTGAGGGTCCCTTCCATAGGACAGGTCCTTTGTGGATTCCGAGATGCAGGAGGAGATTCTGAAACAGAAAAGGGCTCCTGGGTGTAAGCACCTGGCGCCCTGTGTGTGTTCATGGGTGTGAGCGCGGGGGACACTGAAGGTGCCTTGGTCTGGGTCAGGCTGGATCACTTCCTTCCAGGCGTCCACCCTTCTGTTCAGTGGACTGACCAAGCCCTGGGAGGAGGGCGCCAGTCTTGCAGCCTCAGGGACACTCTTTTAAAAAAGGTGTATATGCCGAAACCGGTTTGGCTCAGTGGATAGAGCGTTGGCCTGCGGACTGAAAGGTCCCAGGTTCGATTCCGGTCAAGGGCATTTACATGGGTTGTGGGCACATCCCCAGTGGGGGGTGTGCAGGAGGCAGCTGATCGATGTTTCTCTCTCATCGATGTTTCTAACTCTCTATCTCCCTTCCTCTCTGTAAAAAAATCAATAAAATATATTTAAAAAAATAAAAAAGGTGTATATACATACACTAGAGGCCTGATGCAAGAAAATCTTGCACTGGAGGGGGGTGGGGGGCGTCCCTCAGCCTGGCCGGTGCCCTCTTGCAGTTCAGGAACCCTTGGGGGATGTCTGACTGCTGGCTTAGGCCTGTTCCCCGCAGAGCCTAAGCCATCAGTCGGACATCCTTCGCACCGCCACAGAGGTGGGAGAGGCTCCCGCCACTGCCACTGCGCTCACCAGTCGTGAGCCTAGCTTCTGGCTGAGGGGCACTCCCCCTGTGGGAGTGCACTGACCACCAGGGGGCAGCTCCTGCATTGAGTGTCTGCCCCCTGGTGGTCAGTGCATGTCATAGTGACCGGTCATTCCATTGTTTGGTCGATTTACATATGAGCCTTTTATTATACGGGATATCAGAGAGGAAGGGAGAGGGAGAGAGAGATAGGAACATCAATGATGAGAGAGAATCATTGATCAGCTGCCTTCTGCATGCCCCACACTGGGGACCGAGCCTACAACCCGGCATGTGTTCTTACCAGGAATGAAACCCAGGCTGACACTCTATCCCCTGAGCCAAACCAGCTAGGGCTTCAGGGACACTTGAGTTGGCAGCATTGCCAGAGGCCCTGACTTCTCAGCCAGTGTTGGGGGGACAGAGTTGGTAGGATGGGGGGTTTCGGATATGGCATCCCTGGCACCAGCTCTTATATGAACTTGGGGACCTTCCAGGACCATGGGAGACTGTCCTGGCCACCGCACATCCCAGGTGGGGTCCTGGGGGCGGTCAGAGGGCATTGGGAGCAGGTGGGGCAGCGGCACATTAGAAAGTTTGTTTTGCAATATTTTATCCACCCACTCGTTGCACTACATGAGAAACAGGTCAGGTCATGTCATCCCAAATCCTCCTGCGGTTCCCCATACAAAAAGCTACTAAAATTAAAGAGTGAATTGATCACATTTGCAAATGTAAAGTCAGTATGCAAAAGCCAGTCATAGTTCTATAAGCTAGCAATAAAGAAATGGGATTGAAGTACAAAAGGTACCATAGGCAATAGCACTAAAGATCATGAGAATATTTAGGTATACAACTAATCAATAATGGCAAGATCTGCATTCTGTGAAGTACCAAATAATGATGAAAGACATGAAGGAGACTTTCCTAAGAGACATACCATGTTCATGGACTGGAAGGCTTGATATTGTTAAGATATAAATTTTCTCCAAATTTATCTAAATATTTAATACAATTCCATTGAAAACCCTAGGAGGATTTTTTTTTTTGCAGTAACCGACAATTTGTTTCTAAAGTTTATATGGAAAAGTGAAGGAACGGAGATGGCTGAAACAATTTTGAGGAACAATATGGGAGGAACAACACGACTAATTTCAAGATTTATTACAAAGCTGTCGTAGAAGAGAAGATATGTTATGACGAAAGTATATATAAATAAATAGAGCAAGAGAGAGTCCACGAAAAGACGCATACATACAGGCCAATTGATTTGTGATAAAGGTGCAAAAACCATTCAATTAAGAAAGGACCAGCGCATGGTGTTGCAATCATTGGATACACACACGGAAAAAAACCCTGACTCCTGCCTCAAACTCTGTACAAAAATTAAATAAAAATAGATCAGAGACCTACAAGTCACACCTGACATTCTAAAACGTCTAGAAGAAAATATCGGGAGAACATCTCCATGATCTTGGTTTAGACAAAAACTTCTTACAGGGACACCAAAAGCACTATCCATAAAAGAAGAAGAAAAAAAATCATAAAATTGGGTTTCATCGGAATGAAGGATCTCTGCTTTGGGAAGGACACCTGTCAGCAAAACGGGAAGATCAGCGGTGGACCCGGAGGAAATACCGGCCAATCACATGTCTGACCAAGGCCTGGACCCGATACACAGAGATCACAACACAAACTGAGATCACCAACCACCGGCCAACGGGCGGACCGAGGAGCGGACAGACATCCCACCCACGGAGACCGGCAGTCGGCAAACACACCCACACACAGAGCCCGGCCTCTTTTCCCACAAGAGCAACGCATGAAGCCGCAGCGGGTGTCGCTGCCCGCCGGCGGGAACGGGCAGAGGCGGGAGCGGACCGGCCGCGTGCTGGTGAGGTGGTCGGGTCACCGGATGCCTGCGTGGCCGGTGGGGATGCAAAACGCGCAGCCAGTGCGGAGGGCGCTTAAACATTGACCGCGGCTCAGCCTTCCGCACCAGGCGCCTACCCGAGGGCAAGGACAACGTAGGTCGGTTCACCCCGAAATCTGTCCGCAAATGTCGACGCGGCTTTATTGGTAATCGCCCCACGCGAAACACCCGATGTCCTGAACTGGCAAGCCCGTAAACTGTGTTCTGTCCGTAGAAATACCGCCCAGTGAGAACGGGAACCGAATGACTGACAAATGGGACAGACACTCAGTGGGACCAGAGCATAGCTGCAGACTTGGGGTGTCTCACCCGGAGGCACCCAGACACAGAGGAGGCGACAGGCGCGGACCAGGACCGCTGAAGCGCGAGGGAGGGGCTCACAGGCCAGAGCAGGTCCGGAACCGCCCGGAGTGGGTGGGGAGCTGGGCCTCCCCGGGTCCCAGGGAGGGCTCCCTCCATCCTGGGGCCCAGGGGGCAGGGAGGAATGTGGGGCTCCCCCTAGGGCCTGCGCAGGACAGAGGGGCCCCAGGGCCATAGAGGAACGTTCCCTGAAGAGCTGAAGCTTGTCCGGCCGGCGTGGCTCAGGGGTTGAGCGTCGACCTATGAACCAGGAGCTCACGGTTCCATCCCGTCAGGGCACAGGCCTGGGTTGCAGGCTCGACCCCCCGTGTGGGGCGTGCAGGAGGCAGCCGATCGATGATGCTCTCATCACTGATGTTTATCCCTCCCTCGCTCCCTCCCTCCCTCCCTCCCTCCCTCTCTGGAACCAACATGGAAACCTGTGTGTGTTTCATAAAGAAGCTGACCTCAGGGGAGCAGCCGCGCAGCCTGCCCTCTGTCCACTCCCAGAGCGCAGGCGTGCGGGCTGGACGGACAGGCGGCTGGCCGCGCCTTTGGTCCTCACAAGCGGTCAGCAGCCACGAGGCTGAATTCAGGCTTCCTCCCTCCCAGCCGCCTCTCCGCCCGCCAAGGGCTGCACCCCTCCCCCGCGGCTGCAGGACCACTCCCTCCTCAGCTCAGGCCTGGAGGCTCTTCCCCAAGAGGGAGAGGCCAGGGCACTGTGGGAAGGGGGCATCGGTCCCCTCCCAGGACCCCCAGGCCTGGGCCCGGCACTGGCTGACCTAGGGCTTGGGGACAGGGCTGAGGACGTCCTGTCAGCCGTGGTGTGGCTGTGTTGCGTTTCCGAATGCTGCCCGTCCATCTTGGGGTGCGGCGTGGAGGACCCACAGGCCCTGTCCTCATGCCAGCGGGGCAGCCTATCGCTGGGCTCCCCCTCCCCAGTTCTGCCAGCTCTGACCTCACCCCTGAGGTCACAATGGTTCCAGCATCCAGGGCACCTTTGCAGGGACAGAGCTGTGGCACCGGCCTGGGGCTCTATACACAGCCGCGTGTGGGTGCCTGCACCTGTGTCCCCTGTGGCCTTGGACCTGGCCCCCCGACCCCGCCTCTGGCTCCCGGCTGCCCCTGTGATGCCCACGGAGCAGCCCCGTGACTGCAGCCTTGGGAGAGGCCGGGAGACAGAAGGCCAGGTAGGCTCTGCCAGACCCCTGGCCCGGGAATCGTGGAGAGGAAGCGCCTGCCGTGTAAGCACTGAGGGCGGGGCCGTTTGTTACACAGCAGTCGGTAGCGACTACACGGTCCACGCAGAGCGAGGGTTCTGTGTGGCTCCATCACGCTGGGCGGCGGTCCACGCCGCGGCAGCCTCAGCCCCTGGAGGAGGGACACGCCGTGGCCTCTGACCGTGTGCCCTCTGCCCTACCTCTCGCCATGTGAGACGTTGGGGTCTGAGTGTCCCTCTGGGCCCGCGGTGCCGGTCTCCCAGGAGCCTCTCAGGAGGCTGGGCACTGTCAGCACGGGGGCCACACCTCTGCTGGCTTCGGGCTCCCGGCCCGGCGGGCACTCCTCGCGGCAGCTGGGGAGCTGGGCACACTCACCCCTACCCTGGCGTTGGGATGCCGCTCAGAGGGCCGGGCGCTGGCTGGAGGCCGCACAGCAGTCAGTGGTGGAGCCAGGTTCCAGCTG